CCTGCAGCTGGGCACAGGGCGGCTTCAGAACTTGGCAGGTGCAACTTGCACCCAGAGCCACTGCTCCTGGCTGCTCCCCAAACGCCCCCGTATCGTCTGACTCTCGGGGCAGTCAAGGGCGAGGGGAGCGGCAAAGCGCGCCTTTTCCCGCCCCACCCACCAGCCCCGAGGTTAGTTTTCCTTGGATTGTAAGGAAGTAATAGTACAATTACCTTTTTAAATGTTAGCAGTCATTGATTGCTGAGAGACACTTCCTACACACACATTTTGCTCGAGAGTGGTGTGTGTGTGTGTATGTGTGTGTGTGTGTGTACACGCGCGCCGCTAAAGAATAATCCAAATTACTTGCCTTTAGGGCCAGTTACTGACTTGAGATGGCAAAGATGAATCTGGAATTGCACACTTGATCGTGCGTTTGTTGTTGGTTGCTCTTGAGTAACCTATTATTGACAGTGCACCACTAATTGCTGGTAGAAATCGGAGTTCGGGGTCAATTTTAGTAGTAGTAATAAAGTTGAACCCTAGGTCACCCATACCTGCGTGGTCCAAAAGACTAACCTTAACCTGGGTGTGCTAGACTCTAACAAACACGTTAGAGATTCAAGTTCACCCAGATGACTTTTGGAAGAATGGTATCGACACCCACACCCACCCCACTCCCCCAAAAACCGCCCATTGCAAACCCTTTGGAGCACTGGATGGCCCCGAGTTGGAACTGACTCACTGGCAACTCGTTTGCCATCTAACTGACTTAGGAACTCTGAATTTGGAAAAGTTACCCAGTATGCAGCGGTTCTCAACCTTTGAATCAAGAACCCTTTGGGGGTCAAATGACCTTTTCACAGGGGTCGCCCAATTCATAACAGTAGCAAAATTGCAGTTATGAAGTAGCAACGAAAATACTTTTATGGTTGGGGGGTCAGCACAACATAAGAAACTGTCTGAAAGGGTTGCTGCATTAGAACCACTTAGAGCCTGTTTATATCACCTTCAAAAGTTAGGTCCTGACACCTTCCCCTATAGATCCTTGTGAGGATCAAGAGCGAGAATATTAAAATGCTTGCCATGTAGGTAATTTCTTTAATTACCTTGTTCAGACAAAAAGTTTAAACAAATCTTGATTAAAGAAAAATCCTAAGTTCGTGTGTGGTGTTTGGAGTCAGCCCGCCTCTTACAGGAACCAGAATCCAGACCTTAGTTTGTGTCCTGGTTCCAGCTCAGTTTGTGGTTTTGCTTTGTTTTTTAAACCACCTACTTTAACTATTCTCTCCCAAAGAAGTATCTCTGTATTTAGAACCGCAATTTCTACCAGTGGTAATGGTTCAGTATAGCATTTTGCATATATTTTTATAATATTGGGTGAGGTGTTCTCTTATCTCTTTATAACATACTCTACACTAGAGGCTTTCAAACTGTGTGTGTGTGTGTTTACTGCAACCACAGGATACTTATACGAAAACACAAGTTTCACAAAAACTTAACCCCTACTGGTATGAGTTG